TTCCTCTCCTTGCCTCACTTCCCTCACTTTTATCACTTGATGCACACTTCTCCTTCTCTCACAGACAGGAAGGGTACAATTGTAACCCAGGATCTAAGGATGGACCCTCAGGGCAAAGCTATCCCCTGGTTATGGGAAAAAAGTAATAAAGTGGATATGAGTGTTAGATCAGCCATGATCCTGTTGAATGGCAGAGTGGAATCAAGATGCTGAATGGCTTATTCCTGTTTTGGTTTTTCTCTGTGAGCGATTTGAAGGCTTTCTGTAAAGAGTGAATTCAAAACCCCTTATTTTGTTCATGACCCTATACGGTATGTTATGTGCATACTGCTTCAGAAGAAACCAGGCCTTTTCCATGTCATGTTTTCTCCTTTGGGCTTGTGATAGGCTGAAACAAAAAAGCAGTTCAGAACTTGTCCTCCTTGCAATGAATGCAACTGGGCCTGATCATCTTTTTTGCTGGGTCTGGAAGCTGTGTTATGAACAGGACAAACTCTCAAACAAACATTTATAAAGATAAATTGTGGATTAAGTAAATATGAAATCTTTTAAGATAACGATACCATCACAACAGCCTGTTACATATAATAACTAAACCAAATGTAATCTTTTCCAAGCCCTCTTGGCTAAATGTGAACATTGTAGTTCACCACCACTGTTCACAATGGCATCAAAGTCTAGTGTCACTCTTTTTCTGTCTCTCTGCAGTGCTGCCCTCTCATCTGAGTAGTTCCAGCATTTTGCATTTTCGTTTCAGATTTTGAGCATCTGTGGTATTTTGTCATGTCTTTACTACTTTACCGTGATCCAATCGAGTGCTGCAACACATATACCAGGCTATGACCATCACAAATAAGAGATGATCCAACCACCGCCTCATGGCATTCAACAGTGTTACCATCACTGAATTTCCAACCATCAATTTCCTGGGGGTTATCATTGACCAGAAACTCAACTGGACTCACCACATAAACACACTGGCTACAAGAGCAGGTCAGAAGCTAGGAAAATTGCAGCAAGTAACTCACCTCCTCACTCTATCATTTACAAGGCGCATGTAATACTCCCCACTTGCCTGGATGAGTGCAGCCTGCTTGATTGGCACCACATCCATAAGCGTCCATTCCCTCCACCATAGACGTTCAGTAGCAGCAGTGTGTACTATCTACAAGATGCACTGCAGAAATTCATCAAAGATCCTCGGACAGCACCTTCCAAATCCACAACCTCTTCCATCTAGAAGGACAAAGACAGCAGATGAATGGGAACACCACCACATTCAAGTTCCCCTCCAAGCCACTCACCATCCTGATTTTGAAGTATATTGCTGTTCCTTCATGGCCACTGGGTAAAAATCCCGGAATTCCCTCTGTAATGGCGTTGTGGGTCAACCCACAACAGGTGGACTGCAACAGTTCAAGAAGGCAGCTCACTACCACCACCTCAAGGGCAACTAGGGACAGGCAATAAATGCTGGCCAGCCAGTGATGCCCATATTGCACAAATGAGTCTTTTGAAAATGCACAAAGGGTGAAGTAGTAAAGAAAAAGAATGTGCAGGGAACAAAAGGCATCTCACCACATTTTATGGGGTGTACAGTAATGTGTATTCTCTCTCTACCTCTTAATTCTAAAACTAAGATTTAATATCCTCATGTGTCATTTTAAAAGAACTGCTTGCAAGTGCATTTATGATCTACACCTCGTTTCCCTTTTATCAATTTTCTCAAAACACAACCTAAAGCTAAAATGACACATTCTTCATAGAGGGAGTCAGTTACCTCAGTTGACTGTGGCTGGTGCAAAGAGCACGGGTTCTATTCCTGTACCAGCCGAGGTCACCATGAGGTTCCTGCTTTCTCAACCTTGCCCCTCGCCTGAGACTTAGTGACTGTAAGATTAAACATGCTGTCAGTTGTGTGTGTCTCATGAATGAGTAGCCCTGTGGATATCTGGGACTATGGCTACTTGACCTATTACATTCATCATCCTTCTAAAAATCTAAGCTGCAGCTGTACCTCTGGTAGATATGGAAAATGCTTTTTCAACTCTCTCATTTTCAGAAGTGAATAAACAATGAATCATTGAAATGCCCATCTCCAAATTTTAACATGAGATTGTCTATCTGAAGGTCTTCATGAGCAATGTTGTATTTCGATCCTTTTCCATGAGGATGATCAATCAACTTTTTAATTGGGTTTACAGATCTGCTACCCCTGTCAAGAGCCATAAAGCTGTATTCTCTGGTTATTGACCCTCTTGTTTTATCTAAGCAATGCCCTCGTTTTTGAGTGGCTGCATTAAATCTACCCTCAACTTGCTTCACTTTCAGGAGAAAAGCCCCAGCTTTTCTTATTTTCCTATTAAACTAAAGTTCTACGTCCCTGGTATCGTAAATGTAGTTGTAAGAAGTTATAATCGATAAAATGTGGAGCTGCAGGAGCACAGCAGGAAGGTCGATGTTTCGGGTCTGAACTCTTCATCAGGTCTAGGGAGGGGGAAGGGAGCTCAGATAAATAGAGGGAGGGGGTGGGTCTGGGAGAAAGTAGGTGGGATAGTGATTGGTGGATGCAAGTAGAGGGTTGTAGAGAAGTTAGTGGGAAGGGTGGGGCAGATAAGTGAGAAGGAAGATGAACAGGTTGTGTCAGGTCATGTCTAGTTATAATGTGAAACTGTAGCAGGACATGTAGTGATGCAGTGTTTTTAATAGACTTGCAGTACATAATGAAGTAAAGACACTCTTTAGTGCATTACTATATCAAACAAAATACAAAGGTAAGTCCCGAGTTCAAATCCTGGAAAGCCATCACCATAGCGCCAAATGTCGGCAAGAATTAAACCTCCCAATAAGTAAAAAGGGGAATCTACTAAATAATTTTAAATATACTCTTGTACTGCTCTCATACTGCTGCATAGGCACACTCTCTTTTAAACGTGGTTTCACAAGACCTTTGATGGTTGGCCAACTCTAGCTTACTTTGGAAAATATGAGGAGATAGTTTCATAGAATCCCTACAGTGTGGAAACAGGCCTTTCGGCCCAACAAGTCCACACCGACACTCAGAGCATCCCACCCAGACACATCCCCCTAATCTACACATCCCTGAACGCTATGGGCAATTCAGCGTGGTTAATCCACCTAACCTGCACACTTTGGATTGTGGGACAAAACCGGAGCACTTGGAGGAAACCCACACAGACACGGGGAGAATGTGCAAACTCCACACAGACAGTCACCCGAGGATGGAATCGAACCCGGGTCCATGGCACTGCGAGGCAGCAGTGCTAACCACTGTGCCGCCCCTATTTTTGAACAGCTTTTTTCTTTCCCTTTTGAGGATACAACCATTAGATTAACTCTTGCTGGACCTACTCTAGTGAATTGCGTATGTGTGGATAAATTCAAGGTTATATGTATCGTGGTGGTTTTAATTCCCAGGAAAAGTTATAAAACACATGGCACCTACCTGCTTGAATTTCTCCTCCAGTCTTTCAGGCAGTTTTCACAGGAGTGACTAAAGCTGTGTCTCCAGATTCAGAATTATCTTGTATTAATTCACTATTTGGTCTTCTATATTGTATTCTCATTGCTAAAGCTGCTGTGCGATTGATACATTTTTCAGCCAATACTGGAGGTTTTTGTTGCATAATCTGCTATTGACTCAGGTATTAAAGCTGAAAAGGTCACTTGTTTTCCTTAAGTAAACTTAAAGACTAGTTAATGACAAACACTTACAAGTAACTAGTTTAGTTACAGTTTGTCATATTTGTAAAAGTACGAGCCCCTTATATAAAGTTGTAGTGGTTTTGTCAACAAGATGCAGAGTTTATTTTCCCTTCACCCTGCCATGAGGTCCTACTCCCTAATGCAGTTGTAGTGGGGTAACTGAGGCCAAATGACTCCCCACTAGGTGCTTGTGGCATAGAGGCATTGTTAAACATCTAAAGCCAAAAGTTCTGTTTGCTCTTCAGTACAACTACTATTTTAATCGTATTAAGAATATTTATTTCTTTAGAAAGCTTCCATTACTCTCCTTATACAAGCAGCTGTAAGATTTCTACAGATAGTTTGCCGCTCTTGTTCTCCTAGTGTGGATATGTGTTGAGCCATAGGATCTGAAAGGAAGGGAAGCCCACTAGATTGTTTTTCTGCCTGGTAGGTGCATTAATGGGGGCAAGCCCTAAGTTGCAATGTGTGCTCCATGGGGTGATGCTCAGTTTCGTGGGTTGCTTTGATAGCATCTTCCAAGCTTGCAACCTCTGCTACCTAGAAGGATTAGGTTAACAGACTGATTTAGCACACCACGTCCTGCAGTATCACCTCCAAATTAATCAGCATCCTGTCTTGGAACCATAATGGCTGTTCCTTCAATGTTACGGGGTTTAAATCCTTGAATACATAAAACATATTCAATGCTGTTCGGAGGGGTGGAGTGGACTCAATGGGCCGAATGGTCTGCTTCCACAGTGGAGGGATTCTATGAACAGGGATTCTTCTATTCTAGAAGTAGGTGTAGCTGCACCACATAGCAGTATTTCAAGGAGGTTGTTCACCTCTATCGAAGGTACCAAAGGATGGGCAATAAATGAAGACATGACAGGAAATGCTCCTGACCCATGAATAAAGCAAGGCAAACATCGACCTCTTAAAGGAGCAGTAGAAAGATGAGATGTGGCATTGCCCTTGGCTGAGATTTATATATTTCCTTTCAAGGTGGTCACTTGCTTTCCATTAGTTTGTGGATAAACTTGTCTTTTAATGAGCATTTAATTGCCTAATGATTAACTGCTGTTAAATGACTGCATAGATTAATCTTCAATACATTATAATGCTGATATATTAACACCCAATTTTATTTCCTTAGTTGATGCTGGACACAGAGCAGTGATATTTGATCGATTTCGTGGTGTTCAAGATGCTGTTAGCGGAGAAGGCACACACTTCCTAATTCCATGGGTACAGAGACCAATCATCTTTGACTGCCGATCACGACCACGAAATGTTCCAGTCATTACAGGTAGCAAAGGTGAGTTTAAAAAAAGTGATTTGGTGTCCATGTAATAAAGGTAAAACTGCCATAGTCCACGAATAAACTTGAAAATGCTGTCTCCTAAGGAAAGTTGCTTGCTTTTATGCATTTTAGTGAAGTGCCCACGGAAACTTTGCATAAACATCAGATGCTCAATTTCGTTGTTTTACAGATCTACAGAATGTAAACATCACTCTGCGTATCCTATTCAGACCAGTGACAGACCAACTACCTAGGATTTACACCACCATTGGTGAAGATTACGATGAGAGAGTACTGCCATCTATCACAACAGAAATCCTGAAGTCTGTCGTTGTAAGTCGCATGCAGTTCTGTAGGAGAGGATTCGGGATAAATACTAGAACTAAAAATATTTTTACGTTTTCTACATTGGCCAGCACTTGTCTGGTTTCATCTATGTGTATTTTCCAACACTAATCAAATGCATCTGGCCTGCCTTGCAACAGTTTTTCTGCTTTTTACTTCACTATTTACTTGCAGTTTACTAAGGATTAAACTTGGGAGAAGGTTTTATGGAGAAGAGGATAGCCAGTTGTTGATATTTGTGTGTAATATCCTATGGAGCATTTGTAATCCATTTTATGGGTTGGAGCTTAAGGCTCATTTATGCTAAAATAGAATTATCATTAAAATAGCTTATATCTAATGCATTTGTACTTTCATGACTTGGGTTCTGTTTCTTCAAGTAGAATTTTCTGACCCATTGATTTGTATGTCAGTACAGGATAAATCGGGCATGAACGTGAACTGCGCAAGTGTAGAATTTTATTTTCTTTGGTAATGCTCTCACCTTGAATGTTAACATTTAGCCTGGGTTTCCCTAAAATTTAAATTTAACTTTTTGAAAAAGCAAGGTACAAAGATCCTCCCAATGCAATAGATGGTACACCCACACGAGCACCACTAAAATCTGCAAGTTTCCTTCCCAAGCCACTTGCCATCCTGTCTTGGAAATATACCTTTGTTCTGTCAGTATTACCAGGTCACAATTGTGGAACTCCCTAACAGCATTGTGGGTGTACCTAGACCAAAATGACTACGGTTAAAAGAAACAGCTCATCATCACTTTCTCAAGAGTAACTAGGGATGGGCAATAATTGCTGGCCCAACCAGCAAAGGCCACATTCACTGAATTAAAAGAAAACTCTTAACTTGTCTGTGAAACACCAGGTTATGTTATCTGCTGCACTGCAATATTTTATATCTGTAAACAAACAGCTTCTTGAAGTGTAGGAATAATTCTTGACCACCTAAACAAAGTTTACATCTATGTGTCTTGAATGTGCATATGCCTTTTCACTTTCAATTGTCATATTTCAAAATGGTGTTATCATAATTCATCACTAATTGCCCTGTTTCTGCCTGGATTTGCCTTAAACTTAAATCCAATGTAAAGATTTCACACTGTCAAAAAACAGTTGTGTTAACTTGAAATATAAATTACAGTGCTTTTATCTGATCCTTCTCGTGAAGGATTTGACTTGTTAATTAAGAATTGGAAATTTTCTAGGCCCGATTTGATGCTGGTGAACTGATCACACAGAGAGAGCTCGTGTCCAGACAGGTTAGTGAGGATCTGACTGAGAGAGCTTCCACTTTTGGACTTATCCTGGATGATGTGTCGCTGGTAATGACATTCAAATTTCTACTTTTTCTTTGCTGCCTTTGTTTGTAGTAAAATGCTTTATTCTCGAATGCAGCTTTAAAAAAGTGTCAGGTTTCTTTAGGAGGAAATTTTGTGTAACTCTTGATCATATAAAACAATGATTCCCTACGGAATTTGTTAGACAAATACTGCAGTATGTTATATGCTGTAAACACCAATAAACAGCAAATAAAATAAGTGGCCAGATAATCTAGTTTCAGTGACATTAGCTGAGGTGAAAAATATTGCAAGACATCCCTGTTTGATGCCAGTAGACCTTTAACTTCTAACTGAAATGGACAAACAGCAGCTTCCATTTAATGTCTCATCTGAAAGATGTTAGAATCCAAAGATGCCATGGTAAAGTGTCTACAGTAGAAGTCTGCAGTGCAGAAGGGGTTTATTCATCTTATGGTTTGTTGCTGTGTTAAAGCAGTCCCAAAACTCATTCCATCACATGTTCTCTTCACATTTTTGTCTTCCTCTATTTAAAATGTTTATCCAATTTTCCTTAAGAATATTAAAAATGGTTTCTTCCATTGCTGTTCCCTAAAATGATGTATTCCATAGTCCTACAGCCTTTACAAAAGACATTTTTGATGGCCTGTTTTTTTTTCATCTGTGTTATTAACAATTTTTAATTGTGAACTCATTATTCCTGAATCCCAATCAGCAGAGCAGATCTTCCTGCTCACTTCCAATCAGATTGGCCTCATCTGAATTCTAATGACTAGTTTATTAACTTACAAAAGCATAATCTTGAACTGAGCAAAATGCATGTGGAAAAAGGACTTTAAAGAAAAAAGGCAATACCAGGACTTCATTAGTTTCAAAATGATTTCACAGTGAGTTGTAAGCTATGGATTACTTCAGAAAGTGCAGCCTGACAAATTAATGAACAACAGAAGTCAAGTTAATTAAAGGTATGCGAACTATATGGATATGGCTATGGAACTTTCAGTGTACATGAAGTATGTATTTAACACTGCCCCTTTTCCCACTGTTTTGCTTTATGGTTGAGTTTTCAGCGCTGGAAATCGCATTGAGTAAATCAATTTAATGTTGTTTACTGCAGTACGTTACTTGACCTAATTGGCACCATTTTAGCATAACCTCGATCATTCACACTTGATGTCTCTCCCATGCTGCACTGCTGCCCCAGGTCTTTACTGGTGGACCTCAACCTCATGGCCACAGACTGCCTGCCAGACCTGCTGTCTGCCCCAGCCACACTGGCTGTCACCACAAAACATCCCCCACCCCCGAGAGCCTGTGCATGCCACCACTGCCCTTAGGACCCACCCAGGCATGAAAGAGCCAACCTGCGGAGCACTAGCCAACTGCAAGCTTGGTCTTCACCGCCCCGTCCCCTCCCAAACCAATGCGGCAGCTGAAATGATGAGGCCCCTGCAACCTACAGGTAGTGAAAAACACATGAGTCACAATCTCCCTCTGGATCATTAGCAGCCCATGAGCCCAAACACAATCGTCCCTCTGGTATGGAGAAGAAGGAGAAAGGCCAAGGCCCTATCACAACCGTCTGAGCAGTGGCTGCAAGTGGTTGCTGTAAGTAGCAGCCAGGAACAAGCAGTGGCCCCTGCAGGCCGCCCAGCATGGCACAGACCCTGGAGAGACCCCTGCATCCTCCCCGCAATTCCACTTTGAGGGTCCACTGTAGGAGGTATTGTATATAGAATGTTATATTTCTCTGTCCTGATTTTGTTTATTTTATTTCAACTGTTATTTCATCCGCCATTGTGGAATTTAACCATTTAAAGTAGCAATAGTACTGTTTCTAACTTTAAAGATAAAATATTTTAATATTTAAAGAAAAGTTCTGCTAAAAGAAGCCTCGTGGAACCTGACTCCAGTTTTAAAATTGATTTCTATGGAAGTCACTATTTCACTTAAAGGTGTGATTTTTCAGAAACTCTGACTTCTAAGTGAAGACATTCTGTAAGTGTTTGTGCAGGTTGTTCCTCAGTAAACTGAAGTCCACAGAATAACACTTTATCCGAACCTGTGAATACAGGCTCAGTCTCAGCAAGCACAGAACAATCAATCACCCAGTGGGGTTGTAAGAGAATTTCGCTGTGGTCATTTCCCATATCATCACAATTGCAAATCTGATTTAAAAATGATTTAGCAATAATTTAGTTTAGGAAAACTAACATTTAAAAAAAAATTGGACAACTCATCCACATTTAATGGAAAAGCTCAGCAGGTCTGACAGGATCTGTGAAGAGAAATCAGAGTTAACGTTTCAGGCCCAGCAACCCTTCCTGAGACCCTTCCCCAGTTCTGAGGAAGGGTCACTGGACCCGAAATGTTCACTCTGATTTCTCTTCACAGATGCCAGACCTGTTGAGCTTTTCCGGAAACTTCTGTTTTTGTTTCAGATTTACAGTATCCGTAGTTCTTTCGGTTTTCATCCACATCTAATGTTGGGATATATATGGTGATGCACAGTGATTACCCATGGACAGTAATTCTCCTAAAATTAGTGGGATATGAGTGTGAATAATACAATAGACTTGATTCTGGGAGAACTGGTGGAAGTTAAATCTGAATGTTTGAATCACTGTGTAGATTTTGATTTAACTATTATAGTTTATGTCGCATTAAGAGCTGAAGGGAGAAATTTGTCAGGGCTGATCTTATAATAGTGCATTTCCTAACTTTAGGATCTGATTATAAAAAAGCTGGAAAATAATTTATCTATAATGTTTCCCATGTGCCTTTCCCTGTTTCTCAAGCTCTTCAGTTACAGATCTCATTGCCAAAAGGGATCAATCTGAAAGTAAGTTAGGTTCTGTCAGAGGCTTTGTGCGTACGCAAAACTGTCTGCTGCAGTGAATTTAACAAAACGAGCATCTAGTTACCATTTGAGACAGTGAACTTGCAAAATCTGCAAGAATTTATCGACTTCAAATTGCAGTATGGGAAATGGAGGAAACAAATCCTGCTTCCCTGCTCATTGATCAACGACTTAAGTTACACCAGTCATGTATTTTAGACTGTAATGTCCCAGCCCTTGGGTGTGTATTTGAGTAGCCGGATGTATTTTTGATTATTCACTTAGTATCACTCATCTTGAAATGTATCTTTTTGTTTCAGACACATTTGACCTTTGGCAAAGAGTTCACGGAAGCTGTAGAGCTCAAGCAAGTTGCACAACAGGAAGCTGAGCGGGCCAGATTTATTGTCGAAAAGGTTAGTTTAATTGCAGTAGGTTATATACTTGAGTGCTAGGCAAGAAAGATACGTCAATTTATGACCTGATTGTTTTTCTAGAATTTTAAACATTTAGTATTTAAGCAGCGTGTAGAGAATGACCAATATCACTGAAATGTTAAAGTGCAAAAGGTGGGCCATTTGGTCCATAGTGTCTGTACCAGTGTACTGAGCATTTTAATTTAGTGCCAATCTGCCTTTTCCTGCATGTTGTTTCTAAGTAAATAACCACCCTTTGCCCTCTTGAATGTTTTGATTGAACCTGCTCCCACCATCATACTTCCAGAAATTGCATTCTGGACTGTCACCAATCGCTGTATGAAAATGTGTTTTCTCACCTCACATTTGCAAAACATTTAAAACTTTCCCTCCAGTTCTCAATCCTTTTATGTCTGGGAATATTTTCTCCCTATCTACTCTGTCCACACACCCCAGGATTTTGTAACCTTCTATCAAATCTCCTTTTAGCTTTCTCTCCAAGGAAAATAATCCTGAAACTATTCTCCAATCCTTCCTATAATGTGGTGCCCAGAACTGAATACAGTACTCCAACTGAAGTCTAATCAGTATCCGAGATATATTCTTCATAACCTTCCTGGTCTTGGACTCTATTTTCTTGTTAATGAAACCTAGAATATTGTATGCTTTATTAAGTGCTTTCTATTGTTCCTGCCACCCTTAATGCCTTATGTACAAATACACCTGGATATCTCTGCTTCTGCATATACTTTGGAATAGTGCCTTTTTTAAACCGTCTCTCAGTGTTCTTTGTTTCAAAGTGTAGCACCTCACACTTCTCCCTTTGAATTTCATCTGCAACTTGTCTACCCATTCCACCAACCTGTCAATGGCCCTTCTAAGTTCTATACTACCTTGCTCGTTTTTAAATTCTCCCAAGTTGTATAGTCTGCAAATTTTGAAATTGTCTCATGCACACCAGGATTTAATCATTTTATATGTATAAATCAGGAAAAACGAGTGTTCCAATACCAGTCCCTGAGGAACTCCACCATAAACCAGTTTAGCAATCATGTTCCTACTGTCCTTTTAACTCACATCAACTATTAGTTTCCTTATGAATCTGTGGCACTGTATTGAATAATTGTTTCAGAAGGTTTCCCCACCCACTTGTGCAAAAAGTGTAATGTTTGCCATTCTCCAGTCTCGTGGTACCACAGTCACGACCCACCCCACCCCCAGTTTGTTTGTGGATTTTTTCTACAATTAATTGATTGTGTGGGGAATCACCTGACTTTGTAGCATTGCATAGAAATGAGGTGAACACCTTTAAATTGATTCTGTAATTATCGCAAATCCCAGAGTACTTAGACCGAGTTAACTTTTGACGCGCAGTCTCTGTATTTGGGATCTAATCTTTGGAAACCAAATCATCTCACACAGCAAATGTTACTGAAAATTATTTAACCTATTTTGCTGCTGCTGGTTAAGGAATGAAAACATTATGCAAAAACTCAAGTAGCTCTCTGGTCCTCTCAGGATAATGGTTGATTGTTTTTAAAACAACCACCTGTACAAGTGCCTGGGGCATTGCTTTGACAGTTGAGCCCCTTCCAAAAGGCAGGAGTGAAAAATTTGACTGGAATATGTCACTGTTAATAGTGGCCCCTTGGAAATGTTGTGTTAAGTTGCCTTTGTGGAAGCACTACCAGTACATAGAGGTCGAGGAATGGATGAAGAAAATCCTGACAGTGCACAGGGAGCAGAGAGCAGTTAAGAAGTGTTTAAGACTTCATTAGAGATGAGCTTTGTCAGAAAGGTGAACAAAACAGGCAAATTCCAGACTACAGCGCTGTGATTGAAGACAAAGGTGCCTCTAGTAGAGGAGACACCATGGATGAGTAATGAATACACAAGTTAGAATGAAAAATACCATGGAGGGATTTGTGAGTGAAAATGATTTTTGACACCATGAGGATGGTGCTTGGGAATTATTGGAGTGGTTAGCCTAAGGATTTAGTTTACAACATAGAAAAGAGGAAAGCTACATCAATTGTAATAGGTAGTTTATGGAGCTTTGAAGCTAAGCTGGATGTCAGACGCAACACTGAGCTTGTACATTTTCTAGTTCACATTTCAGCAAGTGACCGGCAATGTGAATTGAAGACTGTGTGCTTCAAAATTTTTTTGTGGGAACTGAACGGAATTAGTTTTGATATTATCGTTGCAAAATGGAAGCAAGTAATTAATTGAGCTTTTGTCCACGAATGAATATTCTAAGGCACCCTTATTAGACATTATTAAACATTCTGGCCCTGGTATCAATGGTACACAATAACCTAGATAATATTTCACAATGTGATGTTTTTTTATTAAACAATTGTTCAGCAATATGTACTCTCAAAGACACTGGATGCTGAGAATTCCTTTGAGCCAAGACCAGTTTCAGGTGGTCAGTCCATCAACAGATCTCCCAGTGTATCTTTGGAGCAACCAACCAAACAGCTCTGCTTGTTGTAGCCATGAGTTGTTTTGAAGGTCTGTCTTTATATCTTTTCATTATACAGCAGTGTGCCATATAAGGTAATACCTGTTAATACTTGCCCATTTAATTGCTTTTTAATGACATCGCTGCTCTGCTCGAAGCTATTGCCAGAGACATTTTTTTTCAAGCTCCCTTTCAAGACTATTTGAAAAAGATACAGGCCGCTTTCTGGAGTGTTTCTTTTTCTAACACTATCAGTTTCCAGTGCTGGAGCGCAGGAGGCACTTTATAATCGCAAACAATGTTCCCTCACAGCTCCAGCACCATGTAAAAATTTCTTTGCAGAGTTTAGAAAATATCTTGAACAAATTTTCCATCCTGCCTCCTTGTTCTCATACCACAATGCAATTCTTCAGTCAGGGTGCCTGTTTCTCCATGAATTCCACCGCCTTGAGACAAACTCAGCACATAGCAATTGTTCCATGACCTGTTTACATTCATTGATATAAAACAACAGAGCAATAGCATGATTCAGAGTGATTAATATAATACAGGAAAGGGGAAGGCAGCCGCGTAACAGTAATGCCAGGCTAATAATTCAGAACCTCATGCGGTGGAAGTACTCTGGATTTCCTCTTAATTACAGTAGCAACGTAAGAGTGCTCACCTCATTTCTGTTCAATGCTGTACAGTCAGCTGATTGTCCACAAATCAATTAATTGTAGAACAAATCCACCAATAAATCAGAGGGAGTGATTGTGGTGCCAGAGGACTGGAGAATTGAATCCTTTATAACCTTTTATTTTGAATAAGGGGATAATAATAAGCCCAGCAATTACAGATCGATCAGTTTAACTTTGGGGAAATTTGTGGAAACAATTATTTGATATAGTGCCACACAGACTTATGAAGCAAATCATAGGTTATGGAATACAGAGCCAGTAGCAATGTGATTAGCATTATAGCAACTTCAATCCCATTTACTTCTAACTGGTAAGGCGCAGCTGCAGTGTTGTTTTGGATTTGGAATTGCTTTGAAAATTGAATTTTTATTACACATGTACAAATGCCAATATGCCCTGAAATTCTTTACACCTCAAAAGTACAATGGCAATTCAGAATCCTAAATATTGTCCCCTTGTCTTCTCAACCCTATCCCACTTGTTCTTGAAAACAGTAACTTGTGCTGTAGATTGGTGAGCAAAAGCAGGGAAGTGAGTTCAGGCTCACAGCACTGACTGAATATTCACAGTTCAGAATGTTAACAGATGTGTTTACTAAAATGAAAATATTGATACATTTCTTTTTAAATTATACTTTATTATACCAAAAATGATAAAGAGCAATGGGTTAATCTACAAGAATAACTGTAGCAATGTCTTAAGTAGTATCCTCAAACATTGCTGCAGCCCTTTGGTAGATAGGAGGGGAGTCACTTTTCTGCAACTTTTTTCCAATCTATTTTAAATGGTAATGGCAATATTTTAATGGCAAGACTAGCACTTAACAATTGTCTACTATTTTACATGAGAAATATGCCTACTCGTACTGTAAATTCTACGTAATTAACACCACACTTGCATCTGGTTCACTAGGCTGAGCAACAGAAAAAGGCAGCAGTGATTTCTGCCGAAGGAGACTCCAAAGCTGCAGAACTGATAGCTAACTCTTTATCAAAAGTTGGCGACGGCTTGATTGAACTAAGGCGGCTTGAAGCAGCAGAAGACATTGCCTTCCAACTCTCAAGATCCCGCAATGTAACCTATTTACCTTCTGGGCAATCAACACTACTCCAGCTACCCCCACATTAACAGAGAACTTTGTCATATTGTATTGTGTCCAAGATGGCTAAATCTTTTTCTATATACTTAATGTCCATTCTCTCAATATAACCTTGCGTACAGAAAATTCCATTGACAGATGAGGATTAGAAAGAATGATGATAAGAAATATTGATCAATAATTGGTTCTAAATTTGATTTTTCTTTCCATTGTCTTTACTGTGTGCTGCATTTGGCTTTTTGCCAATTGTGAATGATGTCGTTTACACTGTCGTCTGCAGTAATTCTCTTTGATAAAAATAGAATTTGTTGGCTGGCAAAAGGCCACAAAAAGCAGAGGATGACAAAATTAATTTTTTAAATAAATAAATTACTGAAAGCTTCTGCATTTCATCTGAATGTGGAGCAGATTGTTACTCAAACTCTGCAATTTACAGTATGTAGTAAAAGGACATGCATTTTGTGATTAAAGCATAATGTAGTACTGGAGATTTGGGATTAAAATCAGTGGAAGTGTGACTAATGACTGCTGTTTCAATACAAAACTGCAGAATGCTCCAGAACCTTTATTATGTTTCAGTATCCATTCTGTACTTTGCATAGTCAGTGTGTAAAGGTATCTTTAATGATTTGTAATGGATACACAAGAAATTTAATTTCTTTTTAACTCAAAATAAATGCACTGGTACCACTGATATTTTGTATTGTAGTCATTCATTTTGAACTGCAGTTCTATTTTGTTACATGCAGACTTCCCTCGATGGCGTGGTGCTCTTATGCAATATGTAGAGCACTATGGTAAAGTATGTTTAGTTCTATTTTCATTACACTCAATATTTCTTTCATGATGGGTGAGTAAGTGTTCATTCGTTATTCCCCACATGAAGGAACCAGAAAGCATCCGTAGGGTACGCGTGTGAACGTCCTTGGAGCTGATTTGAGATAGTTTCGTTGAAGACCTGAAGGGTTCATCAGTGAACTGCAAGCACAGACCAAGGGGCTTGGTGGTGTGTGGCTGTCAATCCTTTGACCATCAGTTGTTGTTTCTCCCTATCTACTACGTCCTGACAACTTATGGTTTTGAACACTTCTATGAAATCTCTTAATCTTCTCCAAGAAGGCTACTTGAACTATTTCTTTACCTCTAGAGTCATTCTTATGATTTTTTTTTTCTGCATGCTGTTTAATGCCTTCACATTCTTCCTAAAATTGAGGACAATTCTCCAGTTAAGATAGACAGTTTAAAAAAACAATGGTTCTATCATAACCTCCTTGTTTTTGTACTCTGCTTGTTTTCATAGCCCAGGATTCTGTTTACTAACTGCTTATAAATCTAATCGTGTCATGAAAGCATACTCAAGTTAGGTTTAAAGGCAATCAATATTTCATATAATGTGATATTGACATCAAATAGTCAAATATATTTTGCCAGAGATAGAAGGAACTGCAGATGCTGGAGAATCTGAGATAACAAGGTGTAGAGCTGGATGAACACAGCAGGTCAAGCAGCATCAGAGGAGCAGGAAAGCTGACGTTTCGGGCCTAGATCCTTCTTCAGAAAATG